ACAGGCGGGGCTCCTGTAGCGGGATCTGATAGTGCTTGAGCTCAGATGCCCCTGAGGCTGGCTCTAGATGTTACTGCCAGCCTTTGGCCTGTATGTTGCTGCTGACTACATGTTTTAGGGCTCCTACCACGCCTGTTACTGGCCTGTCCAGCATGTGCTGTCCCTCCTGATTGTCAGCACTGTATACGGAATAAGTGATGAGGATATGGTTGAGAGCTGGGATGTGGCTCATTCGTGAGTGCTTGCCTGTCATCCTCAAGACAGTTTCCAGCCCCAGCACTGCAAAAAGGAAAGAAAAGATCTGATTGTTTTTGATGTCCAGAAGGCCCCTACCACCACCACTGAGTGGCCGGTGTGACCAGTGGCATCTCTGTCCTGATGGCTGGTTGAATCATGAAGGGAATGAACTTGCCATACTTTGCTGTCTCCCCCTCCTGCCACCCTGTGTGTCACACAGCAAGGACGCTTGGGGATGGCGTAGGGCATGCTTATCCTTTCTAGCCCTGGTAGACCATGTCTTGGTTTCTGGGTGGGTTTTATGGAGTTTCTGCAGGGAGTGCCTCAGTGGCCTGGGCCACCTCTGTGCAGTATGTCTGCAGGTGCATCCTAGTCATGAATCCAGAGGTGAAGTGACAGGTGGCTGCTCCAATTGTTCAGAGCTGCTTTGCCAACAGAGCCCCTCGTGTCTGCTGCCACTCACAGCCCTGGAAAGGTTACAGTATCTATCTCGCGTGAGTTTCCTTGGTGGCTTTGTGGCTGTGCTTACTACCCGGCTGCCTGTCCTCTTCTTCCCTTGTCTAGTCTATGGTGGTCCCCCACCCCACCCCAGTGCTGAGAATTGAACCCATGGCTTTTGCACTGAGCCACGTCCCTAGCTCTTTATTTATTTATTTGTTTATTTGTTTTGTTTGTTTATTTATTTATTGTGCCAGGGATTGAACTCAGGTCCTTGAACTTGCAAGGCAGGTGGCACAACCACTGAGCTAAATCCCCGGCGCTTCTTTTTAATTTTTTGAGACAGAGTCTCAGTTGCACATGCTTGGTTCCAACTTGAAATCTTCCTGTCTCCAGAGTACTGGGATGACAGGCATACGCCACCATGCAGGCTCACTGCATGTGTAAGAAAAAAGTCACAAATGGGTGTATGCTTTTTGTCCTGCCTGATGGTAGACACATCCTTGGTTTCTGTTTTCCATGAGCTTTGCTGTAGAGAGCAAAGTCTCTGGGAGCCAGGCTTTGTGGTGTGCAGCCCAAGTCTTGTCTACTCAAGAGGCTGAGGCAGGACTATTGTTTGAATCCGGGAGTTGGAGGCCAAGCTGGGCAGCATGGTGAGGCCTGTTGGGCTCCGGCATCTGCTGGCCAGGTGGGGCCACATGATCCTCGGATGAGTTCACCTTCACATCCACTCCCAGGATGGGGTCACTGGCCTAGCCCAGAGCCTCAGACCCTGAGGCCTCAGACCCACTGGCCTAGGTAGTTCAGCCTGTACCATCTCCATGTCACTGCAGTGTGGAATGAATTCATTGTGTGAATTCCATGAGCTGTTCCACAAAATCTTCAGGTCTTTGATCTTCTCTCCTGCCCCTGTGACACCCATGTGCCCACCCATGCCTGTTACCCCCTACGTGGGGCCTGATAAGCTGGGTGTATGCACTGACCTGGATGTAATGTTACAGCCCTTTCCCTGAAGATGCCAAGGAGCTGCTGGCCTTCAGCAGCACCGCTCACTTACCCTTCTCTCTTCTCTGCCCTCTTACAGGCCTCGGTTATGACCCATACAACCCTGAGCTGCCCAAGCCCCCAGTGCAGCGAGAGAATGGTGTGCTGGGCCACAGCGATGAGTCCCGCTCAGACATCCTGGAGCTGGAGCTGGTCAACCAGGCCATTGAGGCGGTGCGCAGCGAGGTGGAGCTGGAGCAGCGGCGCTACCAGGAGCTCCTGGAGACAGCCCGAGAGTATGGAGCAGCTGAGCCTAGTGCCAGCGGGGCCTCCGCCCTGGCACCCCGAGGCCTGGCTGCCAGCCCCTCCGAGGGCCTGGATGAGGGGGCCTTTCCCCTGGCCTTCACCTATACCCCTGGAAGCCATGGCCTGCTCACCCCTGAAGGCGGCTACCAGCCTACTCCACTGGCGCCTGCGGAGCCAGGCAGCAAGTACTCACTGGAGTCTCTGGAGAGGGGCCAAGGGAAGGCGGGGGCCACCCTGGAATACGTTCCCAAGGCCATGGGCCAGTCCCAGCGGTACGGCCGCCCCATGGCCAGCAGCAAGTATGTAGTGGACAACTCCAAGCCATCCACGGACCTGGAATACGACCCGCTTTCTAACTACTCAGCCCGGCACCTTAGCAGGGCCAGCTCCAGGAACGAGAGGGCCACCAAGCGTCCCCGGTGTCCCCGTGGCAGTGAGCCCTACATGCCTGCTGTCAAGAAGCCCTGTGACCCCTTCAGCAGCTGTGATGCCAGGTTCTCAGACTCGGAAGATGATACTACCATGCCTCCAGGTGGCGACAGGCCGGTCATAGCCAGCGCCCCCAAGGCCAGTGCTGGCCCTGAGAACGAGGCCACTGGGAAGCCATCCTCCAGGGAGGCCCCGGAGCCTGAGGAGGGTGGCCTTCGGGAGACCAAGGAGATAGCCGTGCAGTATGACGTTGGGGACCTCGGGCAGCCCCCAAAGGACCTGGGTGTGATGCCCTTAGACAAGTCCAGCTCCCCAGCCAAGGCCTTGGAGGAGGAGGGCAGCCCTAAGGAAGGCAGACCCAAGAAGAAGAAATGTGGGACTACACCCACCCCCAGCCACAAGGATAAGTCCCGGAAGAAAGACAAGATGAGGGACCGAGACCGAGGGCAGGCCCAGGGTAAGTCTGGGCTGGATAAGAGGAGTCTGCAGGCCAGCAGCCTCCAGCACAAGGCTGAGAATCCAAATGGGACCAAGAAAAAGCCATCTTCAGCCACTCTGGTGGCCAGCTCAGGGAAAGGGAAGCCTGCCCACCCAAGCGGTGGGGGCACCTGGGCCCAAGACTCTCGCCCCGGCCCCCAGCAGCAGCCAGAGAGGAAGGGCAGCAGGAAGGTTCCAGCGGGCAAGCTGGGGGAGCGCAAGGCCCGCTCGCTGGACGAGGGTGCCCCCCGGGATGCCCCCAAGCTGAAGAAGAGGGCCCTGAGCCATGCTGAGCTCTTTGGGGACGAGAGTGAGGATGAGGACTCAGGCCCAGGGCCTGGGATGCCACGGGCCTGGCCCCCAACTCTCCCCAGCCTCAGCTCAGACTCGGATTCAGACTTGGACTCGGAATCCAGCCTGGGTCTCTCCAAAGTGCAGCTGCCCAAGTGGCTCAGGTCCTCTCCGCCACCCACGCCCACCCTCAGCCTCACCCCCACGCCCCCAGCCACCTCAACAGCAGCCTCAGCCTCCACCACCGCCACCGCAGCTATGGCAGTGTCGTCCTCCTCGTCCTCCCCTTCCTCCTCCTCGTCCTCCTCTTTCCCGGGGGCCAGGGAGGAGTCAGAGGAGGAGGACGTGGACTACGCCGCCCTGGAGAAGGAGGTCGACTTTGACTCAGACCCCATGGAGGAATGCCTGCGGATCTTCAACGAGTCCACCAGCGTGAAGACAGAGGACAAGGGCCGGCTGGCGCGGCAGGTGAGGGGCACCAGGCAGTCGCAGCCATGGGGTCCAGTGCTGGCCTCGCTGCTCAGGGCTGTGGCAGTGGCCCCGGCGTAGGGACGTTCCGTCCTTCAGCTGTTTCCAGATGCCTCAAGCCGCAGCCACAGGTGGAAGATCTGCCTTCAGCGACGGCCTATTAACTCGTTTAAAACTCAGGAACCCTTGGTGGCCGCCTGCTGCCCCCTGCACCCTGTCCAGAAAGAGGATGTAGGCTTACGGCCCACCCAGCTGGGTCCCGCGGCAGCCAGCGTGCCGACTGACGTGCAGACTGACCAGCCAAGGGGTACCGGGCCCCGCCCATCCTGCGTCCCCTTCCCTCTAGCTCCTTTCCTCCTTTTCTGCCCTCTTCTCCCTCCCTGGCCCCTGTGCCCTGGCTTGCTCAGGCCATCCCGCACCCATCTGGGTTTCCATGTCCACTGTCCCCACATCAGCCACCAGAGGGAGCTCGCCCTGAACAGAACTGGACTCAGCCTGTTCCCTCCAGATCTGGCCTCCCATGTCCTGTCTGGAGTTATCTCTTGTCCAGGCTGGAAGCAGGAGAGGTGGGCTGGGCCTGCTGGCAGAATTTGTAGCTCCTCAGGCCTGGGAGGTGGCTCAGGGCCAGACCAACCGGGTGCTGGGGCCTCAGGCTGCAAGGTTCTGGTTGTGGCTGGCCCACCTGTTGTCTTGGTCTGCACAGTCCCTCCCTCCACGCGCATGCGCAGGAGGGTGGCCTGAGCCCAGGAGGAGGGGGGTACGTGTGCTGGTGTCAGGGCGCTGCGGCCCGCAGATGCCTGGGCTGAGTAGATGTGTATTTCAGCCCCCCAAAGACGAGAAGAGTGAGGAGAAGGGGCACGCAGGCCTGACCACTCTGTTCCCGGGGCAGAAGAGGAGAATCTCGCATCTCACCAAGCAAGGCAAGGAGGTAAGGGCCCAGTTTTTAGCCCATCACAGTCCACCCCCATGGGGGTGGATTCCTTTGGCAAACTTTTATACTGCCTGTGTCTTGTGGGAGGAGTGTGGCCCACTCAAGATCTGCCTTCACACTCCCAGCACTGCGAGGGCACACAGCGGGGAGAGTGGGTGTGGCCCCGGCCCAGTGAGCTGTGTCAGGAGGCAGGTTGCTTGCCTACCCTCGCCTCCTCCCGTGCAGCTGTGGGGCAGCGAGTTAGCACTGGAAAGGATGAGGGCAGAGAGTTTGGCTCCAATGTTAGCTACCTGGAGTTCTAATTGACTCAAATCTCCAGACTTTCCTGAAAGGAGGGGTGGGATTTCTGGGGATTGGATTAAAGGCAGCCCTTAGGGAGGATTTAATTCCCTCTCCACCGTAACTCTATGTCAAACCCAACCTGGGCACCCAGGCAGCCCGGAACTGCAGGAGCAGGGCCTGCAGATACTCCTCCACCTCCAGAGCCCTGAGCCAGGGACCATGGCCTTGTGCTGGGTCCTGCTGTGGAGTTCAGAAGCTCCCAGTGTGCTGAGGGGGAGGGGGGTGACACATGCAGCCCAAGAGCCCCTGGTGTCTTGCTCCCCGCCTCTGCATGGCTACCAGCCCTGGGTGCTCCAAGCCCCAAGACTTGTCCTCATCCAGGTGGAGCCCCCCAGGAGGGGCCCAGTGGCACCCCCAGCCCGGCCCCCAACGGCGCAGGAAGTGTGCTACCGACGGGCCCAACAAGCACAGAGGGAGTCAGCCAGCTGGCTACAGGCTGCCCCAAGACAGCCAGAGAAACTCGCCTCTGTCCACATCTCTGCCCCTGGGGAGAAGAGGAGGATCGCCCATGTGCCCAACCCCCGCCTGGCCACGGGTGAGTCGTGTGTGTGTGTGTGTGTGTGTGTGTGTGTGGGTGTGTGTGTGTGGGTGTGTGTGTGTGGGTGTGTGTGTGTGGGTGTGTGTGTGTGGGTGTGTGTGTGTGGGTGTGTGTGTGTGGGTGTGTGTGTGTGGGTGTGTGTGTGTGGGTGTGTGTGTGTGGGTGTGTGTGTGTGGGTGTGTGTGTGTGGGTGTGTGTGTGTGGGTGTGTGTGTGTGGGTGTGTGTGTGTGTGTGTGTGTGTCCGTCCGTCCGTCCGTCCGTCCGTCCAGCCCCTGCTGGTAGGGGCCTCCAGGGAATGTTTCTTGTAGGGTACAAGGAGAGATTTGGCCCAAGGTTGCTGGGCAGCCTCCCTGCACTGCCAAATGCCTTTGAGTACTGTGCAGCTGCCCTTGGCTTGCCTGTCTGTGAAGTGGGGTCACCCTGACTCAGCGAGAGGGTCCCTGAAGGCCTGGGTCTGTGCCTGGGCCATCCACAGCTGCCTGACCTAGATGTGGCTTTTCCTGGTGAGGCGTGAATAGGGAGGTGTGGCCTCTGAATGGATCTTGGGTGGAGCTGGGGTTTTGTTTTGTTTTGTTTTTGAGGCAGGGTGTAGTTCTGGTTGACCGGGAACCTCCTGCCTTAGCTTCACAAGCACTGGGTTTGCTGGTGTGACACCACACCTGCCTTGTTTTTTTGTAGTACTTGGGAATTAATTCAGGATTTTTGCCTTAAACTATCCAAATCCTTTTAGATTTTTTTTTTTTTGAGGAGGAAGAATCTCACTTTGTAGTTGAGGCTGGCCTTAAATTCACTATATAGCTCAGGCTGGCCTGGAATTTACAGGGCTCCTCCTGCCTCAGCCTCCCGAATGCTGGGATTACGGGTGTATACCACCACATCTGGCTTTTTAGAATTATTTTTGAGACAAGGTCTGTTTGTTTCTTTTACTTCTTTCTTTTTTTTGGGGGGGGGTACTAGGAATCAAACTCAGGGCCTCATGCTTCCCAAGCAGGTGCTGTGCCACTGAGCTACATCCCCGATCCCTGTTTCTCTATTGTTTTATTTTCTTGGTGTTTTAAGATGTTTGCTATGTAGTCCAGGCTGACCTTGAACTCACTGTGTAGCCTAGGCTGGTTTTGAACTCCCATTGAACCTCCTGCCTCAGCTCCAGAGTGCTGGGATTACAGGCATGTGTCATCATGCCCTATAAGAGACAAGGTCTCTAAACTACTAAATTGCCAGGCTGGGTTTGAACTTGTGATTTTCTTGCCTCAGCCTCCCAGCGTCCTGGGATCTCTGACCAGTCTGGTCACCCCCAGAGCCACCTTGGAAACAGCCCCTGCAGGTCATGGGGTGGGGGTGGGGTGGCACTATACATTGTGACCTCATCAAAGGGACAGGCAGAACACAGAGGCTGTGGTAGCCAGGCAGGTGGCTGTCACAGTGACCCGGCTGGGGCCATCCCATACCCTGTGGTCCTTTGCCCAGGACTCAGGGTCTCCTCCCTCAGACGTCAGTGCCCAGAACATGTGGCAGAGGCCCTGCACACCCTTGTCCCACACCGGACTATCCCGATGGCGACATTGCCTGAGCCGGCCTCCACAGCTGACCACTGTCTCCCAGCCTCGATTGGCCTGCCTGGAAGCAGATAGAGCCTGATGTCCTTCCACAGCCCGCACCCCACACCCCGGCCGCTCCTCCTACACCCTGAGATGCTCGTCCTGCTGTCCCTCAATGATCGTAGCTACCTGGTGCTCCGCAGCTCGGTGATGGGCATCCTTTCTTCCTGCACTTACCCCCACTGTCCCATGCCAGCTCCTACAGGTGCCAAGAGGACCCTTTCGGCCAGCAGCAGCCAGGTGCCTCATGGCCCCGAGCCCGGCAGCCAGCCGCTGAAGACCCGCACACTGTCGGGGATGGCGTCCAAGACCACCACCACCATCACCCCCAAGCGCATTGCACACAGCCCATCTCTCCAGGTAGGGTGGGGCTCCACCTGAGGATGTCCCAGAGTGTGGTCCTTTTTATTGAGGGGGGGTTATAATTGGGCATTGAACCCAGGTTCTTTGCACTGAGCGGCATTCTGGACCCTCTTTTATTTTTAAATTTTGAGACAGGGTCTTGCTGAGTTGCTAATTGGCCCATGCTGGGATTGAACTTTGGATCCTCCTGCCTCAGTTTCCCAGATTGCTGGGATGACAGGCATGGGCCACCACACCTGGCTTTTTATTATTTTTTTTGTTGTTGTTTTTCGAGACAGGGTCTCACTGTGTAGTTGAGACTGACCTGGAACTCACTATGTAGCCCAGGCTGATCTCGAACTCACATCGATCCTCCTCCCTCAGCCTCCTGAGTGCTGGGATTACAGGCGTGCACCACCATGCCCGGCACACTTGGCTTTTTAGTTGTTTGTGGTGCTGGGGGCATGGCCCAGGCCTGGTGGGTGCCAGGCAAGTGCTGTACCACTGAGCAGCACCCCAGCCCTGAGGGACTGTTGTTCTGGGCAGTCAGGATTACAGAAGTTGGGACAGAGTACAGCAAATCTGTCCAACCTCTGCCTTCAGTTTCCCCTGTAGCTCACACCCTGCAAGAACCCTCGGGCTCAGCATACACTGCCTTCGCTGGCATCCAGTTCTTGGTGTGGGCCAGGTGCACCCCAAGAGGCCCTGGCCAGCAAGCCTCACCCTCACCACTTGTTTCCTCCAGAGTCTAAAGAAACCCATTATCCCAAAGGAGTTCGGGGGCAAGGTCCCCACCGCCATCCGCCAGCGCTATCTCAACCTGTTCATCGAGGAGTGCCTCCGGTTCTGCCCGTCCAACCAGGAGGCCATAGAGAAGGTGGGCACAGGGCATGGGCAGCCGCTCCTTGCCCGAGTGTGTGGTGCCGTGGGGGCCTTGGGGCTGAGAGCCATCTGTCCCCCCGCCAGGCGCTGAATGAGGAGAAGGTGGCCTACGACCGCAGCCCCAGTAAGAACATCTACCTGAACGTTGCCGTGAACACCCTCAAGAAGCTGAGGGGCCTGGTTCCCAGCGCCGTTCCCAGCCTCAGCAGTGAGTGCCAGGGCTGGCGGGGCTTGGAGCTGGGGAGCTGGGTCACCCGACAGAACCCCATACAAAAGGCGATACGAGGTGCTTGCTAGGTGGGGGGACGTCTCCTCTTGCTGTTAACCACCCTCCTCCGAGCAGGCCGAGGGCTGCCTGATAATGGAGCAGCTCACGGCCTCTTCAAAGCGGGAGGCCTGGCGCCCGGGCTGTGGGCTGTGCATTAAGCTCTGGGGAGGAAGAAAGCACGGGTTAAGACGTTTCATTACCTCCTCTCGAGAGGGTGCATTAAGCAATCAGGCGGTGCGCCCAGTCTCGCGCTTGCCTCCCCCGCGGCCAGGCCCCTCCTGTTTAGCGTCTCAGCCTGAGCTCTGAGGGCCCGGGCTCCTTCGCAGGCTGTGCGGCCCGTGACAGCACAAAGCTCTTGAAAGCCATTAGATACCTGTTCAGTTAGTCTCAGCCTTTCCCCACTTTGCCTTCTTCGGGGAGTGAAATCCTCACTTGAGGGGAGTGGGGCTCACAGGCACGGGGTGATTATGTCCAGGCCCTGTGCCCGCCCCTGCCCAGGTCACGCCTCCCGGTTCATGAGGCCCCGTGGGCAGCGGGGAGCTGTCCCGGAAGAGGACACTGAGGTGTCTGGGCTGGGCGTGGGCATGGGACCCAGCAGGTCCGAGACAGGCTCTAGCTGACCCTTTTCCACCTCCCTCAGAACCCAGTGGCCGGAGGGTCGTGTCCCATGAGGTGGTGCTGGGGGGCAAGTTGGCCGCCAAGACCAGCTTCTCGCTCAGCCGGCCCAGCAGCCCCCGGGTAGAAGACCTGAAAGGTGCGCATGCTCTGGAGGCCTTCCGTGCCCTTGGGACCCCCCTCTGGCCCTCCAGCCCTCAGGACCCCTCTTTCCTGGTTGCCTGGCCCCTCCCAGCTGGGCCAGGCCAGGGCAGAGGCTGACACCCGGTGTCCACAGGGTCCACCCTGTACAGCCGCCTCAGGGACTACCTGCTCACCCAGGAGCAGCTCAAGGAGAACGGCTACCCCTTCCCCCACCCCGAGCGGCCGGGGGGTGCTGTTATCTTTACGGCTGAGGAGAAGAAGCCCAAGGACGGTGAGTCACCTTGGGGTTGCCTGGGCAGCTGGCTGCAGACGGGCTGGGCTGGGTGGGCCCCACAGGCCGCCATAGCTGCTGGTCCGGGTGGGCCCTCACCCACTCTCCTCCATCCACAGCCTCCTGCAGAATCTGCTGCCGCTGTGGCTCTGAGTACCTCGTGTCCTCCTCTGGCCGCTGTATCCGAGATGAGGAGTGTTACTACCACTGGGGGCGGCTCCGCCGGAATAGAGGTGAGGCCTGAGGACCCCCATGTGCTGGGCAAACCATAGCCCTGGTCCCTGCCTCCCTGCTTTCTGGCATTTTCTGTAACATTGTTCACAGTCTGAAGGTCCCTAGCACCTCCCACCCTCCCCGCTCAGCCCTTGCTGTCAGTAAAATTACTGAAGAAATTCAGAAGCTCTTGGCCCTGTGGGGACAAAGGGTACATCAGGGAGGCCGCTGGGCAAGGGAAGGGCGTAATAGCAGGGCCCTCACTCCAGGGAAGGCAGCTGAGGACCCCCAGTCTTGCAGGCCCCTCCCTCAGCAGGCTGGGGGGTCAGTGACTGCCGGAGGGTGCTGGGCTGGCCAGGCTGGACCCCGAGTGCCATCTTTCCTCAGTGGCCGGGGGCTGGGAGACGCAGTACATGTGCTGCTCGGCCTCCGTGGGCTCCGTTGGCTGTCAGGTCGCGAAGGTAAGCCCTGGCCCCGTCCTGGCGTTCCAGTGCCCTGCCCTGGTCTGGGGTTGTCCAGTGCTCAAAGCTTCAGGGACTCCCTTCGGTCCGCAGCCCTGTCCTGGGCAGCGGGACCCCCACTCCGGCCCAGCCAAGGACCACTGCCTGGTGGGTCTTCAGGACCCCAAGCCTCAGTTTTTCTGTCCCCAAACGGGCCAGAGGGGGGCCTGGGACTCCAGGCTCAGCCCGTATCGCCAAGCCTGGTGTGCTGGCCCTGTTCCTGAGACCCCCTCACCCCCCAGCAACACGTGCAGGACGGCCGGAAAGAGAATCTCGAGGGCTTCGTGAGGACCTTCGAGAAGGAGCTTCCAGGGGACGCCCACGCAGGGATTTACGCCCTCGACTGCGAGATGGTAAGGCCTGGCTGTGGGGTCCGGAGGTCTCCCTGCTCCGTGGGGCTGACCCGCTGGCTCTGAGCGTGGCTGGACTGTGGTACGGTTTACAGTGTGCCGCCTTTGCCCACAAAGGGCTTCGGGCCAGACCCACGGACTTGGACACAGCCATTTTCCCTGTGATCCCGGGGCTGCCCTTCGGCCCCCGAGGGGTGTGCGCTGGGTGAGAGGGTGGTGGGGACAGCTCCCTTTGTTCACAGCGCAGCACCGTCTGCTGAGGCCCAGGAGGAACCTGGCCTCGGCTCCCCTATCAGCCTCAGTGCCATGGGCTCTGGGGAGCGCCAGTGGCTTTGTGGGGTCACTGGACCCGGTGGTGCTAGCCTGCAGTGCCCTGGAGGGGGGCCGGGCTTCTGGGGCGCCGGCCCATGTCAGCCTCCACTCGGCCCCGCAGTCGTACACCACCTATGGCCTGGAGCTGACCCGCGTCACGGTGGTGGACACGGACATGCAAGTGGTGTATGACACATTTGTGAAGCCTGTGAGCGAGATCGTGGACTACAACACCAGGTGCGGCCCTTCCCTGGCACCCGCCCACCCGCCCACCAGGTGCGGCCCTTCCCTGGCACCCCCCCCCCCGCCCACCGTCCTTGCGCCCTGGCCCCCAAGCCAGCCCCGCCTTCCCTCCCCAGGTTCTCAGGGGTGACGGAGGCCGACCTGGCCGACACGAGCATCACGCTGCGGGACGTGCAGGCCGTGCTGCTGAGCATGTTCAGTGCGGACACCATCCTCATCGGGCACAGCCTGGAGAGCGACCTGCTGGCCCTGAAGGTCATCCACAGCACCGTGGTGGACACGGCCGTGCTGTTCCCGCATCGCCTGGGCCTCCCCTATAAGCGCTCCCTCCGGAACCTCATGGCCGACTACCTCAGACAGATCATCCAGGACAACGGTGAGTTGTCCTGCACGGGCCGCCCCACCCAGCCCTGTCCGCCGGGGCCCCAGGTGACCGGGTCTGCCCTGCAGTGGACGGGCACAGCTCCAGCGAGGACGCCAGCGCCTGCATGCACCTGGTGATCTGGAAGATCCGGGAGGACGCCAAGACCAAGCGATGACGCCGCTGCCTCGCCTGCCCCATGCCGCCCACCCTCGTGCCGCCCCCTCCAGCCCCGGGCCTCTTCCAAAACAGTGCAATAAATCTGAGAGCTAATCCTGTCGCCTGGCCGCCACGCCAAGACAGGCAACAGGCGGACAGGAGGGACGGACGCTGAGGCAGGCCTGGAAGCCCTGCCCCTCCCCTCTGCTCCCCTGTCCCCTGCGGCGGTTTTGCGGGCTTGTTTGAGACAGGGGTTTTTTGTTTTTTTTTTGTTTGTATTTTATTATTTTTTAATTTAAACCCAATGACTTGCGCAGTTACGTCCCCACCCCAGAAGCAAGGCCCTGGTGCTGCTTTCCTCCTTGGGGACATGTGTGGGTGGGAGCCAGAGCCAATTGGGGTGCAGTACCCCGGCCTGGCCTCCAGGCTGTCCTGCTGGCCTTGGGGTGGCGGCTCCTCAGTCTCCCTCCAGCCCACCGACTTCCTTTTGTGACCTCCAAGAAGTGAGCCAGCCTGGCTCAGGGGCTCACCTGTCACATGCCCCTTGGCTTGATGGCCTCTGGGACACTGTCTTCCCGCAGGGGCCCCCACCCTCCTGGGCTCTCTGTATCCCCTTCCCCATGGCCCCTGGGCAGGGACGGAATAAACATTTGTATGAATTTTAACTTTGCGCTTGTGGTGGTGGTGTTGCTGCCCCCCCCCATGAGACCTGCACACACCCCTTAGGGGCACTGTTACCATCCTGTGGTCAAGGTCAGGAGAGCGGGAGGCCCTTGGCTCAGCTTCCAGAAGCAGCTGTGGCCTCAGATGGGGCCCATGCCCCAAAACAGCCCAGAGCAGGGTGGCCTGGGACTAGAGCCCGGGTGAGGGTGGAGTCAGGTCCCCACGCCTCACGCACCTCCGGACCTGGCTGTGAAGCGGCTGAGGGCACAGCGTGGTGGCTGGCTGAGTCTGAGGGAAGGTGCCCAGCCCAGGGAAACACTTACGCAGACCAGGGCTGAATCCTCTCCCACTTGTGTAAAAATGTCAAGCTGGAGAGCCTTAGGACCAGTGGGTGAAGAGGGACCCTCAGCCCCCAGGGCCAAGGGCACAGATCCAGGTTGGGACCCTTGAGTGCACAGGTGCTGGGGCGAAGCCTGCCTCCCTTCACGTAGCAGTGTTCAGGTCCCACAGGCTCCTCTCCCTTGGCTGCAAAGGAAAAGTGTTCTTTCTGGGTCTGGAATCTCCCCCAAGTTTCTGGAAGTGCGAGGCAAGGTGGGGGAGATGTACACGGCCCACTCCTTGGTTAATCAGGTCATTTCTGCCTCTGGCTGTTCTTGTGATCAAGTTGACTGACACCCCCCCCCCAGCATTTTCTAAATAAATGGTGGAGATGTCTTCACAGAAGTCCTGTTCTGTTTCTGTGGTGTTGGCTTCCCTCTTTCTAGAACACAGGTTAGGGTAGCCCTGTGTCAGCTCCAAGCCTCATGGAACTTCTGACTTGGTATATTGGCTGGTCTGCACTGGGGGCCTCAGGACCTTTGCGCACGCAGGGGAAATTGTTTCCACAGCTGTATCCAACTTCTAAAGAATGTCAGAGTCCTCCACTGGGCTGGGTAGGCGCTGGATACGTGTACTGGGGACCAAACTTAGGACCTTGCCTTTTCGAAGTAGGCATGGCACCACAGAGCTAAATCCCCAGTCCTCTATTTACTGAATGAACACATGAATGAGTGGGAGAAAAGTTTCCTTTCCCCAACCCCCGGGGTCAAGAAAGCTTGCACTGAGGCCTGCTTCCAGTGCTAGTTTGGGCTCGCCAAGGGCCTTAGGTTGGTGCTAGGATGGGGGAGGCAGGGTTCTGTGTGCCTGCTTTACACGATGTCATCCATCTGTTCACCCCACACCTGCCTGCAGGTGACGGGGAGGAATTTGGGGGACAGAGAGGACTCTAGTTTGTTGGGTGGGGCCCGGTCAGGGGAAGGGACCGCAGCACGACATGGGAGGGGATAAGGACAGCTAAGAGCCGATTGCCTTGCTGACTGCTACTCTGCAGACAGCTCCTCTGGGTCATAGTATTGAGATGGAGCTGCATCAGCTCGAGACCCCTCGGCGGGGAGTGTCTCCGTATCCTCTCCCGCTGCACACCTGGCCCTGGTTCATCCCGGACTGCAGCCCGCACACGCCCAATCTCCACAAAGGAATCCTGTTTCCAAGGGAGCTCCCTGGGCTTTTTCCAGTTGGGGGTGGTGGCTTGCGCCTGTCATCCCAGTACTCCAGGGGACAGGCAGAAGGGTTTCATGTTCAACACCAGCCTGGGTAGCTTGGCAAGACCTTGTCTCAAAATACAAAAAGGAGAAGGCCAGTTGTGATGGCGCATGCCTGTAATCCTAGCACTGGGGAGGCTGAGGCAAGTGCCCGTGATCCCAGCATTTGAGAGGCTGAGGCAGGCGTCGTGAATTGGAGGTCAGCCTGGGGTACATAGCGAGACCTTGTATCAAATAAGGACTGGGGATGTAGCTCAGTGAAAAAATCGTGGGTTCTCAGGATCCCTCAAAAGAAGGAGGAAAAAGAGGTGAAAGGATAACTAGAACTGCTTTCCCCAGTCCCAGAGAAACCTGCACCTGAGCATGGGAGGTGCTCGTTTAACTCAGGGAGGAATTGGGTGAGGGACTCTGGGTACCCATCTTGGACACACCCGGCCCACTTGCAATTGCCTGTGTACTCTGCCACTCCAGGTTACACGGGCAAACCCAGTCTCAGCCCTGTCTGCCCTCAGCTCTGTTCATTCCTACCCAGACTCTACCCCTATCGGGCTTCCAAGACCCTCTCCAATCTGCTCTGCAGAATACAGTCCCACCCACCACCCCACTCCTGACCTATTGTACTCCCTCTGCCTGGATGTTGACCTCAACTCTGAAGGACTCCTAGGCTCCTCCTTGTCCTAGGCTCATCCCCTGAGGCCTGGCCCACACGCCCTGGTCTCTCTCCTAAAGCTCCGCCCCCACCCGCATTCTGCAGGCCGGCAGGGCGGAATTCCTCCAGGCCCCATCCCTAGGGCTGGCCCTCCTCTGCCTTGACAACACAAGGT